CGAACCAGAAGGAGAATCTGACGATCAACTAGAATTAAATGAAGAACCAAGTCTACCAGAAGTCTCTGAAGACAAAGAAGATATCCCTACAAAACCAAGCACTTCAAAATATAATCTTAGACCAAGAAGTAGTTTACAAACACCATCAAGATATGAAGACTTCTATTTAGAACGGGACGGAACAACAGAATCAGCTCTTCTAACTTATTCGGAAGCTATATCTGGTCCAAATAAAGAAAAATGGAAAAAGGCAATAAAAGAAGAAAAAGAGTCTCTTGAGACAAAAATGAAGTTTGGGAAATAGTAAAAGAAAATGAAGCGTCAAACAAGAAGATTCTGACCTCTAAATTGCTCTTTAAAGTGAAAGAAGATGGCCGCTACAAAGCAAGACTAGTTGTAAGAGGCTTTGAACAAGAAGCAGGCATTGATTATAATGAGACATTCAGTCCAATTATAAGCACTGTCTCTTTAAGGATATACTTTGCTCTAATGGCTAAGAAAAGGTTTGTTTTTAAAACATTTGACATAAAAACAGCTTTTCTATATGGGTTTTTGGATGAAGAAATATATGTTCAATTTCCAGAAGGTTATAAAGAGAATATATGTAGGTTAAGAAAGGCATTGTATGGTTTAAAGCAAGCCCCATTAAAATGGAATGAAAGATAAAAACCTTTCTAAAATCCCAAGATTTCATACAACTAAAATCAAAGCCATGTGTGTCTTTTTAAAACCAACAAAGGAAATATGTACCTTGCAATATATGTAGATGATGGTATCTTAATGGGAGATAATGAAGAAGAATTAAATAATATTTTAGAAAAAAAAAACTATCCCAAGAGTTTGAAGTTAAAATAAACAATGATCCACAAGAATTATTTTGGGAATAAATTTGTGTTTTGAGGAAAAAAATAAAATTTTATTTACACAAGAAAATTATGCAAAATCAGTTCTTGAAAGATATAATATGCAAAACTCAAAACCAGTACCCACTCCAATTACAGATGTAGTAAAAGAATTAGACAAAAACTTAGAAATATCAAATGATATCAAATTTCCCTACAGACAAACAATTGGAAGCCTTTTATATTTGACAAACAAAACTAGACCAGACATGACCTTTGCCACAAATTTTGAAAGCAGGTCAATGCATGATCCAACAACTCAAGATATTATAAACATCAAAAGAACCCTAAGATATTTAAATCACACCACCAATTTAGGCATATCATATGATGGAGAGATGCCATTTGAATTAAATGTGTATTGTGATTCTGACTTTGCTCGAGATATAAAAACTAGAAAAAGTACCACATAATATGTAGTTTACTTATGTGGAGGTCCCATAAGTTGTTGCTCCAGAAAGCAACCTGTAATTGCCCTTTCAAGCACTGAAGCAGAGTTCATTGCTGCAGCAGATGCATGCAAAGAAGTGTCATACATAAAATCCCTATTAGAAGAATTAATTCCAGATAATTTTGATATAAATTTCTATGTTGATAACCAAAGCACTATAAAAATTATAAAATAAGGTCAATTCACCACTAAAACTAAACATATTGATGTCAAATATCATTTTGTGAAAGATCAAGCTCAAAAGTTTAATCTGATATATTGTCCAAAAGAACACCAAATTGCAGACATCCTAACAAATCCTCTAGCCAGACCAAAGTTTGACAAATTCAAATCCCTTCTTATGACAACCATTTAAAACATAAGTCAAGTGAAGAAACTGTTGAATGTGATAAGATCACTGATTTAAGATGGAATGTTGGAAAAAAAGAAGAATAGTAAATCAATGATTTTGAAATACTTTTAGACTGACAACACTGTAATATAAAAACGAGAACAAAGGAGTGTTTTTGCTTTGTTTACAAAATTAGTAATTCTTAAATGTCCTTTTCTGTCTCTCTTTGAAAATAATAAATTTAAAATACTTTCTTAAAAGGTAAAATTGCTAATTCTTTAAAACCATTTCAGCTGTAAGTAAACTTGTTATTTGTTGTTTCATTTTCTGAACCATAAGAGATTCCCAACAGTCCCTTGAAAAATACTCGATAAGTTGAATAAAATCAATATTATTTGGTTCCCTCGGTAATTGGAATTTAAAGGAATAGTATCTTGCTTTGGAATTGTATCATTATTCTTGTCTCAAATAAATTCCCGTGTCATCCTGAATTTTGTCTTTCCTAATTTTCTACATTACAAAATCATCGTTTTATCTAGTGAACATTTTTTCCCGGTCCCTTGAAAAATACTCGATAACTAACTTTGACTTGTGCGCAATTAATAGATAGAAAATCTTACTTTTGATAAATAATCTTTAAGATAATAAACTTAGTGATAATAAAACTTATAGATAAAAAAACTTGTTAACATCGTCGCAATGGGGGCGCTGCTTTCGAGTTAAATCTACAAATCTGCAAATAACTCTAAGGATATTCAAGAAATTATTTTTCAAAAACCTTCCCAGTACTATATTAAATAACTTCCCAACGTTTCATGGCGTTTCAATGAGTGATTTGGTCAGGCATAAAGGACAGACATACACACACACATGCATTCATTTTTATATATATAGATCAAAAACTGATTCAATATTAAGAGAAAATAAACTTTATTGAATATATAAAATGAATATATACATTGAACATATTTGAATGCCAAAGGGAGGACTTGAACATCTGGAACATACACACAATAATGTTATTATTATTCAAGAGGTTATAATTTCTTATAAACATACACACATACAGCTTTATTAAGACTACCTGGCTTATACAGATTCACCGCAGGAAAGAAGCATAGTTGGAGCTCCTGTACTCCAGGTAGCACAGAACCAAGCAACAGCCTCCAGGTCCGACACATGTCCAATGGCCACAGAATCCACCGTGCATAGGTTAGCGTATCACTGAAAAAGCGAGTGTGGAATCAGCCGCGTTTTAGTTTTCGCTTTCCTCATCAAATTATTAATCTCCTCCGAACGGTGACTGCGGTCTTGTAGAATTTATATAAACCAAAGACCTTGATCAAACATCATTGTATTCATCCAGTTATATATATTTTTGACTATCGAATTGAGACAAGGATAAGTCACCTAAGAATTATATTTTCCTATTAACTAAAGTAAAACGATATCACACTAGAGTTACCATATTTAACAGGAAAGTGGAATTACCTTTTTATCATCTAATTCATGTTTATTTAGATATTATTCATTCATTGTTGCCCTGGAACAGTCAAATGACATTAGTAATCAAGATAAAGAACAATTACACTTTTAAATAAAACAAAATATCAAAGTCACAAATATTATTTCAACCGCAAATTTCTCAGTAGCTTTTGAATGCATTGACAAGATGTCAATAAATTTTAATTGTTAAATTATCTATCTAGTGTTACAGCTACTATACTAAATCTAGTATTATATCTACTACATAATATACATTACCATTTCGTGATGGGCTTGGTCTCTGTACAGGAATTACAGGAGGAATAATCGGGAACACCACTACTGGTAATCCATTAAAAATATCAATATTCTCTGATATTTCTTTACTCTGAGGTCCTTTAAATGTTTTTATAATATAATCTACCATGTTGATTTACTGATCGTTTGATATTAAAGTCAGATAATTGGTTTACTATCTTTGTTAATGGTAGTAAAGCTGGTTAAACACGCGCGCGCGGGGTCATATTGAAAATATAATGATTATGCAATAACAGATTTAGATATTCTGTTGAAATTATCGTGAATCTGTTTATATATAGGTTTTTAACTTTTAATTAGACAATATTAATTTATATTTAGAAATTTTTCATTTTAATTTAGATGCTTTCATTTTAATTTATATTTAGACATTTTTGATTTTAATTTAGACGGTTTCAATTTTATTTAGACATTTTTCATTTTAATTTAGATACATGGACTTTTCTATAAAAAGAAAAATTAAAAAGGTCTAAATTGAAATAAAAAATGTCTAAAATTAAAATTTAAAATGTCTAAATAAAAAAAAGGGTTTAAATTAAAATGAAAAATATCTATATATAAATTAAAATTGTCTAATTAAAAGTTAAAAACCTATATATTTTCAGTTAATCTTTATAAGTAACTAGCCGAATGACCTGGGTTTTACCCGATTAAATGCTTTTATTCAAATACTATTCGTCACAATTATAAATTGGCGCCGTGGATGTCCTTCTTGAATTCTCTAGACGAATGACCCGGCTTCGCCCGAGAATTACCCCGAGTGCAATATCCTTCATACTGAAAGTAAATCAATAATAAATAGTAGAAGTGCCATAGAATAGCAACACAGAAGTAACACATAAACCACAGGCAAAAAGTGTGCGTGATGGCAAAAAAAATGTATTATATTAGTGTTTAGGTATTTGATTTAATTATTTTTTGCAATGCATTTAGTTGTTTCAAAATCATTATAGTTTAAATAGATGGCAGCTTTTCCACCCAACCCCCGAGGTACCCGCCCCAGCGCACTAACCCTTGAAATTGCCTGAGTTGAGTGAGTGACTACGATGGATCTTGACTGCGATGCCCATCTTCTCATTAAAAATAAGAAAAAAATAGGTTTATAAAAAATATTAATCCAAAATACTGGCATGTAAATATTTTTCTGTAAAAAAAAAAAAAGAGCACATGGAAATTAGGCAGACATATGTGTTTGCTAGTGACTGCGACTGCATTTTAAACGATTTAAAAAAAACAAAGGCCAGAAAAAAATAATAAAAAATAAGAAAGTGATTATTTACATACAGTAACGCTAAATTTGTAAAGTTTTTTTTTTGCATTGTGTGCACTTACCGTAACTTGACACGTGACTTAACGTGACAGAATTGATGACTCTGATACTTGTATATATGATTATGTTAGCATAATGAATTAGTCAGTATTCCCATGGTCTCCAGCGAAGAGGTGTGAATTGACTTTTTGAAAATATACATAATTATAAAGATAGAAGCTTCTATAGAAATAACTAAAATAAGCCGAAATAGCTCAGTTGGGAGAGCGTTAGACTAAAGGTCCCTGGTTCGATCCCGGGTTTCGGCATCTTTTTTTAATATTTTAAAACGATGACAGAATTGATGACTCTGATACTTGTATATATGATTTTTAAATTTTTACTTACCGTAACTTGACACGTGACAGAATTGTGCATGACTCTGATAACTGTATATATGATTTTTAAATTTTTACTTACCGTAACTTGACACGTGACAGAATTGTGCATGACTCTGATAACTGTATATATGATTTTTAAATTTTTACTTACCGTAACTTGACACGTGACAGAATTGTGCATGACTGATAACTGTATATATGATTTTTAAATTTTTACTTACCGTAACTTGACACGTGACAGAATTGTGCATGACTGATAACTGTATATATGATTTTTAAATTTTTACTTACCGTAACTTGACACGTGACAGAATTGTGCATGACTGATAACTGTATATATGATTTTTAAATTTTTACTTACCGTAACTTGACACGTGACAGAATTGTGCATGACTGATAACTGTATATATGATTTTTAAATTTTTACTTACCGTAACTTGACACGTGACAGAATTGTGCATGACTGATAACTGTATATATGATTTTTAAATTTTTACTTACCGTAACTTGACACGTGACAGAATTGTGCATGACTGATAACTGTATATATGATTTTTAAATTTTTACTTACCGTAACTTGACACGTGACAGAATTGTGCATGACTGATAACTGTATATATGATTTTTAAATTTTTACTTACCGTAACTTGACACGTGACAGAATTGTGCATGACTGATAACTGTATATATGATTTTTAAATTTTTACTTACCGTAACTTGACACGTGACAGAATTGTGCATGACTGATAACTGTATATATGATTTTTAAATTTTTACTTACCGTAACTTGACACGTGACAGAATTGTGCATGACTCTGATAACTGTATATATGATTTTTAAATTTTTACTTACCGTAACTTGACACGTGACAGAATTGTGCATGACTGATAACTGTATATATGATTTTTAAATTTTTACTTACCGTAACTTGACACGTGACAGAATTGTGCATGACTCTGATAACTGTATAAATGATTTTTAAATTTTTACTTACCGTAACTTGACACGTGACAGAATTGTGCATGACTCTGATAACTGTATATATTAATACACAGAAAAAGAGATTGTTGAATCATTCTCTTTATACAAATTTACATATATTATATATTTAGTTAATACAAAAGTATATATTAGATTGAACAAAATATTTATTTGTCAATATATCGGTTGGCTGAACGCCAACCTTTGTCAAGGCATTACCTTTTTTATAAACTTATATATATATTAAATAGAGCAATCCATAAATAAATCTTTAAATAAAAAGGCATATTTTGGATCAAAATAGCATTTATTTTTACCAATATTTCAGTTGGCTGAACGCCAACCTTTATCAAGGTATTATAACATTTTAATGTGTGTCAACAACAAACTCAGCGCCACATATTGTCAATAGAATTAAGTATATATTTTTTAAAATTAATTCTATTGACGGTATGTGGCGCTGAGTTTATTGTTGACACTTTAAAATGTTATAATAATACCGTGATAAAGTTTGGCGTTCAGCCAACTGAAATATTGGTAAAATAAATGATATTTTGATCCAAAATATGCCTTTTTATTTAAATATATATATATGTCATAATTTGCCTAATGTCCAATATGTATAATTTATTTTCGCGATAATTATCATGTTAAAATGTGAATACAAATTCTGTCAAATTATATTGATAAATATTTGCAATATTATCATATCTTATCTCAGGTTTTAGTGGAAAGAATTTGTGTTTTCGTTTGTTTGTGAACAAATCTCTCCCGCCTTCTCATTGGACGAATGTGGCCATGTGGAAACATCCAACTCCACCATTGAAGAGACGCTGCTGGAAACCCCTGCTGTCAGCCAATTCCCCGGGGACAAGGTGGGGCGCGTGGCGCATCGTTCTGCACCCAGAAACGGGACCTGCACCGCCTTCATCGAGGTGGACCTCACAACCTTCAGAGCTCTGGGCAATCGTGGAAGGATCGTGGCGGACGGAGTGATCCTCAACTTCGAGGAGTCCATCCGCGCACGAGTCTGCTTCCGCTGTTGTGGCTTCGGCCACAATTCTGCCCAATGCACCAGAGCTCCCACGTGCTTCCACTGCGGTGAAGGCGGCCATGAAGGCCGTGCCTGCCCCTCCGTTGCCGACCGGCACATCTTCCAAGTGCGCCAACTGCTGTGCCAAGGGCCTCCCAGACAAGCACGAGGCGAGAGCCTCAAGCTGCCCCATCTTGAAGCTTAGAGCCCTCAAGTTCTAGGCTTCCAGGACCTCCTGCCGCCTCAACTGGCCTCCATCCTGGCTTCTCACCCATCAAGGCGCTGTTTCCCTGACCTCTCCAGCTTCCTCCCCCCCTGCGATGACACCTCCACTGCCAGATCCTAGGATCCCTTGCCACCAGCTCACGTTCTGCAGCCATAGTAGGGCTAGAAGACCTTATTTGTAGGCCAATTAGCCCGGATTCTCAAGAAACCTCTTCTTGCCATTCGGGGCTCAAAAATCATTCATTTTGGTTAGCAGCCAAATAAAATAAAGATATTTTCTCTCTGAGTCGAGGCGGGTGTGGTGGATTATCGTGTGAGGACGCTTAAAGTGTTCTCTGCGTGCTATATTCCTGTCTGGCAATCTCGTCGCATACCTGTGTAACCCCGGTCCGATCCCTACCTAAGCAGCAATAAAGCTAAGTACTGTTTTTTTTTTTTAATTTTATTTAACAAATTGTGATTTATTATTTACTTTTTTTTGGTGTTGTACTTTTGAGTCCACGATTTTTTCTGTGTTTAAGTTACTCTTACTTTAGGCCCTAGTATATTGTATTTGTGTGTTAACCCCGCAAATAGAAACTTTGGTATTGGCGAGCCCTGCCAGGATTACTGGTGTTTGCACGTGTAAATTCCTGTAATTTTACGTGCGGTTTTTTTTCTTTGATTGAGTAGTTTATTACTATTTTTTGTACTCCATCATGTTTGCGAATTCTATGCTCAACTTGTCAGTGTTTAATGGGGTTAATCTCGAATCTTTCATTCGGGAAGTCGAGCTTAAAGCTCGAGTAGGCAAATGGGATCCTGAGGTCAAAGCATTGCTCATGTTCGAGGCTTTATCCCCTGAGGTTAGGTTGAGCTTAGAGGAGATGGGTATCCGTAACGATAGCAGTTTCGAAAGTATTGCTAGTAAACTGAACATATTGTACCCTAAGAAAGCGCGTGGTATTAGGGAATGACTTAAATTAATAGAAGGTCTTAAGCAGAGAGTCGGGGAAAGTCCTATGGTTTTTAAAGAAAGATTCCTGGCCATTAGAGATAAAGTAGAGTACAGTTTTGACGATAGCCTAGTGTTCGAAATTTTCCTCGAAAATGTGCTCGATAAGTATAGAGAGGCTATTGTTCGCAGTGAGGCTAAATCATTAGACAAAGCAGTCAGGATCATGGCCACGGAGGATAGTGTAGAACACCGTTGCAGCTTTATGAAAGGGGTATGTTCAGTAGAAGGGGTTGAAGAAATAAATAACATTAAGAGTGAGATGAAGATTCTTAGTGCGAGTGTAAACAGGATGAAGCACGAAAATGAGCAGTGTATTGCAGATCTTAGAGGTGAGATAGAAAAACTGACTAAATTGTTGGGCGAAATCAGGCTGAGTCCACCTGAGTGTAGCTTAGGACATATAGCTAGTGATTGCTCAAGACAGTCTTCTATGTTTTCCAACCGCAATACTCTTGACAATGCTGAGATAGTGAACATACGTTCATATGGAGGAAATCAGTTTAGAAATCTGCCAATAGTTAAGGTGAATATTAACGGCAATATGTGGCACCTGTTATACGATACAGGAAGCCAAGTCAGTATTATTGATTCCGAAAAGTGTAATGTCTTGAAGGAGAATTGGGACGATGCACTTAAAACTTTACGTATAGTTTTAGTGACAGGCCACGAGCAGACACTTACACGTGTTAAAACCTGTAGAGTTGGTAACGAAAACGGCAGCCAGCTGGGAGAGATAAGATTCTGGTTAATGTCACTCGGAGATAAAGGCTACGACGGGATTCTGGGAATCAATGATATAAGGAGATTGAATATCCAGTTGCCTCCCGTACGGGAACGTTGCAACATGATTTCCTTGAAACCAGAAGACCATGATTATGTAGACCTTAGCTGCGTTGCCAGTGAACATAGACCAATGGTTTCAAGCTGCATAGATGAGAAATCAGTGAGACGCATTGAAAACGAGGCTGTAAAGTTGCCACCTACTGAGTTTAACAGAAGCTGTGAGTGTAGCGCTGGGTCTGTTAATAGTTTTAGAAAGCCTACTTGGGCTGAGAGGTTAAGGGTGATGCGGAAAGCAAAGGAGACTGTCAGACAGTTTATGTCAGGTAATTCTGCTAAAAAGCTTATGAATCCTAGGCCACCTTATACCAAAAGTTTCGACCGAGGAGATCTGGTAATGCTAGCTGTTCCTAAGACTGAAGGTTACTCCAACGTCTATGGGCCTTTCCGTGTGAAAGCTAGGGTCTCCGATGTTAACATTAGAGTAAGAGGGGTCACCATGAACGATGTGAAAGTTGTACATGTCGATAGATGGTCCCAGATGAGAGCTTATTTGGTCCCCCATTAAACTCTGTATACTAAAGCATATTATATATGTGTGTTTAGTAATCACTCATGGTAACTCACGTAGTTTGCGCAGATTTTGTTTTGAAGTTTCTGTTGGGAGGAACAAGATGGAAGGCACCTTTATGGAACGACCCGGATGTCTTCTACTCCTCTCTTTAGTTTTTTTTTTTTTTGTATCTTTATAACATGGCTCCCGTGAGCTTTTTTTCCTCCCGAACAGCGGGAGGTTTTCCTTACGGGACAATGGGAATGTTTGGGAGATTTGTTAGTTTCTTTTTTTTTTTTTGGAAAGATACCTTTTGTCAAATTATATTGACAAATATTTGCAATCTTATCATATCTTA